AAGAGAGAGTGTAGAGGAGAGAGAGAGATTTTGGGAAATGTTGAGTGAATGCATGGGGAGTTTTGAATCAAGTGTGAGAGTAATGGTGGTTGGGGATTTCAATGCTAAAGTGGGTAAAAATGTTATGGAGGGAGTAGTGAGGTAAATTTGGGGTGCCAGGGGTAAATGTAATGGGGAGCCTTTAATTGAGCTATGTGTAGAAAGAGATTTGGTAATAAGTAATACATATTTTATGAAAAAGAGGATAAATAAATATACAAGGTATGATGTAGCACGTAATGAAAGTAGTTTATTAGATTATGTATTGGTGGATAAAAGGTTGATGGGTAGGCTCCAGGATGTACATGTTTATAGAGGGGCAACTGATATATCGGATCATTATTTAGTTGTAGCTACAGTTAGAGTAAGAGGTAGATGGGAAAAGAGGAAGGTGGCAACAACAAGTAAGAGGAGGTGAAAGTGTATAAAACTAAGGGAGGAGGAAGTTCGGGTGAGATATAAGCAACTACTGGCAGAAAGGTGGGCTAGTGCAAAGATGAGTAGTGGGGAAGGTTGAAGAGGGTTGGAATAGTTTTAAAAATGCAGTATTAGAATGTGGGGCAGAAGTTTGTGGTTATAGGAGGGTGGGGGCAGGAAAGAAAGAGGAGTGATTGGTGGAATGATGAAGTAAAGGGTGTGATAAAAGAGAAAAAGGTAGCTTATGAGAGGTTTTTACAAAGCAGAAGTGTTATAAGAAGAGCAGAGTATATGGAGAGTAAAAGAAAGGTAAAGAGAGTGGTGAGAGAGTGCAAAAGGAGAGCAGATGATAGAGTGGGAGAGGCACTGTCAAGAAATTTTAATGAAAATAAGAAAAAAATTTTGAGTGAGTTAAACAAGTTAAGAAAGCCTAGGGAAAGTATGGATTTGTCAGTTAAAAACAGAGTAGGGGAGTTAGTAGATGGGGAGATGGAGGTATTAGGTAGATGGCGAGAATATTTTGAGGAACTTTTAAATGTTAAGGAAGAAACAGAGGCAGTAATTTCATGCACTGGTCAGGGAGGTATACCATCTTTTAGGAGTGAAGAAGAGCAGAATGTAAGTGTGGGGGAGGTACGTGAGGCTTTACGTAAAATGAAAGGGGGTAAAGCAGCTGGAACTGATGGCATCATGACAGAAATGTTAAAAGCAGGGGGGGATATAGTGTTGGAGTGGTTGGTACTCTTGTTTAATAAATGTATGAAAGAGGGGAAGGTACCTAGGGATTGGCGGAGAGCATGTATAGTCCCTTTATATAAAGGGAAAGGGGACAAAAGAGACTAAAAATTATAGAGGAATAAGTTTACTGAGTATACCAGGAAAAGTGTACGGTAGAGTTATAACTGAAAGAATTAGAGGTAAGACAGAATGTAGGATTGCGGATGAGCAAGGAGGTTTCAGAGTGGGTAGGGGATGTGTAGATCAAGTGTTTACATTGAAGCATATATGTGAACAGTATTTAGATAAAGGTAGGGAAGTTTTTATTGCATTTATGGATTTAGAAAAGCATATGATAGAGTGGATAGAGGAGCAATGTGCAGATGTTGCAAGTATAATGGATAGGTGGTAAGTTATTAAATGCTGTAAAGAGTTTTTATGAGGATAGTGAGGCTCAGGTTAGGGTGTGTAGAAGAGAGGGAGACTACTTCCCGGTAAAAGTAGGTCTTAGACAGGATGTGTAATGTCACCATGGTTGTTTAATATATTTATAGATGGGGTTGTAAAGGAAGTAAATGCTAGGATGTTCGGGAGAGGGTGGGATTAAATTTTGGGGAATCAAATTCAAAATGGGAATTGACACAGTTTACTTTTTGCTGATGATACTGTGCTTATGGAGATTCTAAAGAAAAATTGCAAAGGTTAGTGGATGAGTTTGGAATGTGTGTAAAGGTAGAAAGTTGAAAGTGAACATAGAAAAGAGTAAGGTGATGAGGGTGTCAAATGATTTAGATAAAGAAAAATTGGATATCAAATTGGGGAGGAGGAGTATGGAAGAAGTGAATGTTTTCAGATACTTGGGAGTTGACGTGTCGGCGGATGGATTTATGAAGGATGAGGTTAATCATAGAATTGATGAGGGAAAAAAGGTGAGTGGTGCGTTGAGGTATATGTGGAGTCAAAAAACGTTATCTATGGAGGCAAAGAAGGAGTGTATGAAAGTATAGTAGTACCAACACTCTTATATGGGTGTGAAGCTTGGGTGGTAAATGCAGCAGCGAGGAGACGGTTGGAGGCAGTGGAGATGTCCTGTTTAAGGGCAATGTGTGGTGTAAATATTAGCAGAAAATTCGGAGTGTGGAAATTAGGAAAAGGTGTGGAGTTAATAAAAGTATTAGTCAGAGGGCAGAAGAGGGGTTGTTGAGGTGGTTTGGTCATTTAGAGAGAATGGATCAAAGTAGAATGACATGGAAAGCATATAAATCTATAGGGGAAGGAAGGCGGGGTAGGGGTCGTCCTCGAAAGGGTTGGAGAGAGGGGTAAAGGAGGTTTTGTGGGCAAGGGGCTTGGACTTCCAGCAAGCGTGCGTGAGCGTGTTAGATAGGAGTGAATGGAGACGAATGGTACTTGGGACATGACGATCTGTTGGAGTGTGAGCAGGGTAATATTTAGTGAAGGGATTCAGGGAAACCGGTTATTTTCATATAGTCGGACTTGAGTCCTGGAAATGGGAAGTACAATGCCTGCACTTTAAAGGAGGGGTTTGGGATATTGGCAGTTTGGAGGGATATGTTGTGTATCTTTATATGTGTATGCTTCTAAACTGTTGTATTCTGAGCACCTCTGCAAAAACAGTGATAATGTGCGAGTGTGGTGAAAGTGTTGAATGATGATGAAAGTATTTTCTTTTTGGGGATTTTCTTTCTTTTTTGGGTCACCCTGCCTCGGTGGGAGACGGCCGACTTGTTGAGAAAAAAAAAAAAAAAAAAAAAAAGTTGGGGTGAAGAAGTTGCAGTTCAAAGGGTCATCTGAACTGTGAACTGATGAGATGGTGAATAAATAAATGATGAACATATTTCCTCTTTTCTGGGTCATCTGCTTTGGTGAGTAAAATCAACCAATTTTTTGGATGCATCTGGTTCAAACTCTGTCTACAATCTTTTATATTTATAGAAGTACTATACCCATATGGGTCATTCAGTGTATATATATATATAATATATATATATATATATATATATATATATATATATATATATATATATATATATTATAGGTAGTAGGTTGGTAGACAGCAACTGCCCAGGGAGGTACTACCGTCCTGCCAAGTGAGTGTAAAACGAAAGCCTGTAATTGTTTACATGATGGTAGGATTGCTGGTGTCCTTTTTTCTGTCTACTTACACTTAGGTCACACTACACATACATGTACAAGCACATATATGCACACCCCTCTGGGTTTTCTTCTATTTTCTTTCTAGTTCTTATTCTTGTTTATTTCCTCTTATCTCCATGGGGAAGTGGAACAGAATTCTTCCTCCGTAAGCCATGCGTGTTGTAAGAGGCGACTAAAATGCCGGGAGCAAGGGGCTAGTAACCTCTTCTCCTGTATATATTACTAAATGTAAAAGGAGAAACTTTTGTTTTTCCTTTTGGGCCACCCCGCCTCGGTGGGATACGGCTGGTGTGTTGAAAGAAAGATATATATATATATATTTTTTTTTTTCAACAAGTTGGCCGTCTCCCACCGAGGCAGGGTGACCCAATAAAGAAAGAAAATCCCCAAAAAAGAAAATACTTTCATCATCATTCAACACTTTCACCACACTCGCACATTATCACTGTTTTTGCAGAGGTGCTCAGAATACAACAGTTTAGAAGCATATACATATAAAGATACACAACATATACAGTGGTCCCTTGTTTTTCGTAATTAATCCGTTCCTTGAGGAGCTACTATAAACGAAATTTACGATTTGCAAATCAATTTTCCCCATAAGAAATAATGTAAATACAATTAATCCGTTCCTGACACCCAGAAGTATTAAAACAAAAAAAATTTTTACATGAAATATACATATAGTACATAAACAATACAATGGGAAATGATGAATGAAACATTAACAGCAAAATACTTACCTTTATTGGAGATTCTTCTTAGTGTATGGGAGACTGGAGGAGGAGAGAGATTGGATTGTTTACAGTTTGGAAGGGAAATCCCCTTCCAGTAACACCTCAGGTACCAATTGCTTCTCTGGGGTTGCTTGTCTTCTCTGTTTCTTAATGCCACTAGGACCACCTTGAGAGTCACTCTAGTCCTGTCTCGCAAAGTAACTGTGGAGAGAGCTCTGTTTCTGGCGTCTCTTTAACACTTCCCTAAAATGGCCCAAGACTTTGTCACTGTACATATTTCTCACCTTCTTTACCACAGGCTTGGCACTAGGAGCTTTCTTTGGAGCCATGGTAGCTTATTTAGTACTTGCAAGCACTAAAATGAGTGGAATATTATGAAATATTTCATAGGAGCACTTGAGGGGACCTTCACTCACTGGTAAACAATGCCAGACTGGCTGGGTAGGGGGGCCTCCCCGGCTCACACCGTGCGTACGCGTCCCGGACGAACTACTATTTGCGAGTCAACCTATGAAAAGAGAGTCCATGTTTATACGAAAATACCCCTATGATTGGCGAAATTTACGATTGTCGAGAACTACGAAAAGCGAGGGACCACTGTATATATATACAGTATATACAGTAGATCATCGATTATTTTATACAGGGATATCAGGGAAAGATTGTGCCTAATTTTCAGAAATGCCAGAGCAAAGAAATACTTTTTTAGGACTCCTATTGTATGATCATTATTTTTCTGCAATATCTACTCAGGTGCTCTGTATGAAAACAAGACTTGCTGACAGTGTTAAATTCCAGAAAAAAACAATTCCTGGATAATGAATGATCTACTGTACAAGTTAATACTGTCAATTACATGTTTTTGTTGCTAAAACATAAACATAGGTAAGTACTCTTCCACATCATCTAACTCACCAATCCATATTAACTAATAAGCTGTTTTCAGAATTTGACTTCACATAATATGCCTCGGGCTTGAATCCTTCTTCACACCTATGAAAATTCTTTGGTATCTCGGAAGGAAGTTGCTGGTTAGCTAAGGTATGAGGTTTAACATAAACTGGAGTGGTAGTGCTGGACTTTTTAGCAACAGTAGTTGAGTGTGTGCTGTGGCTGCCTGCAGCTTCATCATCATCTGCAATCAAAACAAGAACTGCCTTATTACCTATGTTTTAAACCAATATATCAATCAGGGAGTCCCCAACCTTTTCAAGATTAAAATCTACTGTAAAATTTGAGCTAAATGCAGCAGAAACCCTAACCCATAATCTTTCACTCAAAGTAGTTACTATGTACTATTATCTGTCTAGTTTTAAGTAGTTTCTATGTATTAGGATTAGTCTGCCCAAAATGCCCCAGCATGATAGTGGCTTTCTTTGTATTTACACATTGTAACCTTTACAAAGAAATAAACCTTTATCTTTGTCTAAGTGTATTCAAAATTATAAATATAAAAGTAAACATCATACTGGGTAGCTATATCAGTGGATGAACAAAAAATCAAGGACACTTCAAGGACATATTACAATACATCAAACATAGAAAGAATGCTTTACTTGTCATATCATAGACCTATACAAAGAAAAAAAAGTTCCTGTGAGTAAAATTAGTGATGAAACTAGTAAAAAAACATAAGAAATTACAAATTAAAATGAAAAACATGGCAGCTTGGTAAAATAAAACTGGACACTAAGTAAATTATACCATTTCCTAAGCAGGTTAAAAAAAAAAAAATCCCTATCAAGAGTTAGTCGAACAAAGATGTACACAATGTAGCTTACTAAAGTAGCTAACTTATTTCAATTTGTCAATACTAATCAAATGATTAATGCTTTAATGATGATGTTAAGGAAAAAATTCCTGCAAGCAAAGTGAATTAAACAGAATTTAAAATTTATTATCAAGATAATACTATATTAATCTTTGTCTGGATAGGTATAACTTTTTTTTTACACAGGGTAATATTTATTTTAAAAATGAAAATATGTAGTATATACATCCATTTTCTCAATATATGAAATAGTACAGAAAAACAAAAATTTCATATATAAGCATATTAACTCCATCAAAATTAAGACTTAATTAGCTATAAATACAATAACAAGCAGTTGTGTTTGTCAATTTCCAACTACTCATCTTTGAAATACTTGATTCTTTGTGGAAGAAACATTACCAAATAGTCCAGTCTTCACATTTAATCAAGTGAATGTTATTTACCTGTATAAAAAGAGTAATAATATATGCACTCTAATAACCTACAAAGGTAGGATGCACTGTCAAGCATATTCCCAGTTTAGGGAAGCACGTTTGTAATACAGTACTGTACAATCAATATTCGTTATAAGTTGTTATAATGGAACAAGGAGGATTTAGGAAAACTCAGCGATGTGTAGCCTAAGTGTTTACATTTCATATTTTAAGTGAATTCTCATATAAGGGTAACAATCTCTTTGTTGCATTTATGGATTTAGAAAAGAGTGGATAGATGAGCAATATGGAAGATGTTGCAAATGAATGGAGTACATATTAGGTTGCCGAAGCAATAAAAAGTTTTTTTGCAGAGGCTGCAACCCAGATTAAGGTATGTAAGAGAGAGAGAGGGAGATTATTTTCCAGTAAGAGTAGGCTTTAGACATGCATGTGTAAGATCACCACAGTTATTATATTTGTAGATGGGTTTTTAAAAGGAGTGAACTCTAAGGTATGTGATCAAAAGATAATAAATCTAATAAGCAGTAGTAGTAGTTTTCACAGTCACTCATAATAATAATAATAATAATAATAATAATAATATCTTCATTTCTACACGTACATGTACAAGGTATATAGGCCTAGTTGACATCAATGACATGCTACTATGTAGAAAGCCGCTTGTTATGGAGAGCATTTCGGGCAAATTAGGTCAGTTTTGTCCCAGGATGCAAACCATACAAGTCAACTAACACCCAGGTACCTATTTTACTGATGGAGAACATACACAACTGGTGTAAAGAAACACGCCCAATGCTGGGAATCGAATCCGGACCCTTGCCATGTGAAGCGAGAGCTTTAGCCACCAGGCCACGGGGCACAATGACACAGTCTCTCTAGCAATTTCTAAAGAGAAATTGCAAAGGATGATAGATTAGTTTTGAGGGTGTGCAAAAAAGAAATTAAAAGTCAACATAGAAATGAGCAATGAAATGGGAATAACAAAAAAGTTTAGAATACGAAAGAGTGGATATCAAATTGGAGGGACAGAACGTCAAGGAAATGAATATACAGTACGTATTTAGATACGTCTAGGTAGTAGGTTGGTGGACAGCAACCGCCCAGGGAGGTAATACAGTCCTGCCAAGTGAGTGTAATACGAAAGCCTGTAATTGTTTTACATGATGGTAGGATTGCTGGTGTCCTTTTTTCTGTTTCATAAACATTCAAGACTTCAGGTACGTCTTGCTACTTCTACTTACACTTAGGTCACACTACACATACATGTACAAGCGTATATATACATACCCCTCTGGGTTTTCTTCTATTTTCTTTCTAGTTCTTGTTCTTGTTTATTTCCTCTTATCTCCATGGGAAAGTGGAACAGAATTCTCCCTCCGTAAGCCATGCGTGTTGTAAGAGGTGACTAAAATGCCGGGAGCACGGGGCTAGTAACCCCCTCTCCCATATAAATTACTAAATTTAAAAAAAGAAACTTTCGTTTTTCTTTTTGGGCCACCCTGCCTTGGTGGGATACGGCTGGTTTGTTGAAAAAAAAAATATACTGAGTATACCAGGTAAAGTGTATGGTAGGGTTATTATTGAAAGACTTAAGAGGTAACACAGAGAGCAGGACTGCAGATGAGCAAGGAGGCTACAGAATAGGTAGGCGATGCGTAGATCAATGGTGTTTACATTGAAGCATATATGTGAACAGTATTTAGATAAAGGTAGGGAAGTTTTCATTGCTGTTACAGATTTAGAAAAGGCATATGATAGAGTGGACTGGAGAGCAATGTGGCAGATGTTGCAAGTGTACGAATAGGTAGTAACTTACTAAATGCTGTAAAGAGCTTTTATGAGGATAGTGAGGCTCAGGTTAGGGTGTGTAGGAGAGGGGGAGATTACTTCTCAGTAAAATTAGGTCTTAGACAGGGATGTGTAATGTCACCAAGGTTGTTTAATATATATACATATGGGATTGTAAAAGAAGTAAATGTTAGGGTGTTGGGGAGAGGGGTGGGATTAAATTATGGGGAATTAAATACAAAATGGGAGTTGACACAGTTACTTTTTGCTGATGATACTGTGCTTTTGGGGATTCTAAAGTTACAAAGGTTAGTGGACAAGTCTGGGAAGGTGTGCAAAGGTAGAAAGTTGAAAGTGAATATAGATAAGAGTAAGGTGACGAGGGTATCAAATGATTTAGATAAAGAAAAACTGGATATCACATTGGAGGGTGGGAGTATGGAAGAGGTGAATGTTTTCAGATATTTGGGAGCTGAATTATAAGTGGCTGGGTTTATGAAAGATGAGGTAAACCATAGAACTGATGAAGGAAAAAAGGTAAGTGGTGTGTTGAGATATCTGTGGAGACAAAGAACGTTATCCATGGAGGCCAAGAAGGGAATGAACGAGAGTACAGTGGTACCAACACTCTTATATGGTTGTGAAGTGTGGGTTGTAAATGGAGTTACTAAAAGTATTAGTCAGAGGGCTAAAGAGGGGCTGGTGAGGTGGTTTGGTTATTTAGAGAGAATGGAACAAAGTAGAATGACTTGGAGGGTGTATAAATCTGTTGGGGAAGGAAGGTGGGGTAGGGGTCATCCCTGAAAAGGATGGAGGGAGGGAGTACAGGAAGTTTTGTGGGCAAGGGGCTTGGACTTCCAGCAAGCGTGCATGAATGTGAAAGACAGGAGTGAATGGAGATGACTGATTTATGGGACCTGATGAGCTGTTGGAGAGTGAGCAGGGTAATATTTTGTGAAGGGATTCAGGGAAACTGGTTAGCTGGACTTGAGTCCTGGAAATAGGAAGTACAATGCCTGCACTTTAAAAGAGAGTAGGATATTGGCAGTGTGGAGAGACATCTAAACTGTTGTATCTGAGTGCCTCTGCAAAGAGTGATAATGAGTGATGGTGAAAGTGTTGAATGATGAATGATAATAATAATAGTTTTTTTTTTCTTTCTTTTGGGGTTTTTCTTTCTTTTTGGGTTTTTCTTTCTTTTTGGGTCGCTCTGCCTTGGTGGGAGACAGACAGCCGACGTGTTAAAAAAAGAATTTGCTGGTAAAAAGGTTCTTGATCCAAGGAATTTGAGCCACTCTTCCCTTCCTTGGATCACACCTGATAACCTTCTGTTCCCCACTCCAATTTATGGTTAGCCTGACTTGAATCCTGAAGGTGGGAAGTATTGTACAGTACTTGCACTCTGAAGGAGGGGTGAGGATATTACAGTTCAGAAGGTCATATGAACTGTGATGTTAGCACAATTCTGGCAAGATAGTGATTAATGAATAGTGGTGGATGCATTTCCCCCCTTTTTTTTGGGGGGGGGGGGTAAACCCACTTTAGTGGGAGACAGCTGATGTGCAAAAAAAAAATGCTTTCCAGATGATCTATGGTTTGCCCACTGCTTCATGGGGTTCCTGTTTATATTATGCTGCAGTTATGTAATAATGACTGAAAAGACTGTAGCACAGTTTCTGGACAGGCACCTACAATCAGTACATGACTAGCTGGGCTGTGGTTCGTATGCATGTTGGATTGCATGTGGCTGACAGTAACAGCCTGGTTGATCAGACCCTGATCCACCATGATGCCTGGTCATGGATTGAGCTGCAGGGGGTGCTGAACCCCTGAACACCTTCCAGGTATACTCCAGGTATGTCTTCTGAGTGATATCCATTAGGTGAAAAAATTTTGCTTTCCGAATGACATGGTCTCAATCATTTTCAATAAATGAGATTCTAATGCATTATGAATGGTCTTGTGTGCGTTACTGCATAAAAAGGTCTAAGAAGAAGGCTTAATGCATAAACACTGATAACAGTCACATTTGTTTAGCTTCAGTCATACTTGTTTAGCTTCAGTCGTATTTCTTTAGCTATGAAACAACCTAAACTATTGCACTCTTGTAACAAGCAAATTAAGGGTTAAGCTTTAATAAACAAATTTCCACATTGTAGGAGGCTAGACATTAATTCATGCATAATATTCTCCTCTAAAAACTTATTTACTTAGATCATGCTACAGATTAAAATTCACCTGGAAACAGTAGTGGATTTAAAGGACAAGAGATCCTAAGTGGAACAGCATTTAGTGGGCTCCTCCGCTGTCACCTACTATACGTGTGGAGAGACAGACTTACAATCGATTGTATGACTGCTACTGACCTGCTTCAAGCAAGTTGTCATATTGGTTTTTCACAAATAAATATTCAACAAAACATGAAAAACTTTAAGAACTGTTTTTGTTTAATTTCAGGATCGTAATACTGTAGTCTATACATGCAAATAAATATCTGGGGCTTACTTAGTCCTCTAGTCGGTAAATTCACCACTGTCTGGAAAAATCTCATCTAGCAAAATTAGGGACTCTGTACAAGCCACATATTTTAACAAGTCCTGGCTTAATACTAAAGGTTCAGGACAGACCAAAACATTGTTTAAGATTTTCTCCTATATTGCAGATTTATTGTGAACAACAATTTGTGTGATGCTGAAGATTTTTAAGAAGCAATTCTCAATTACAAAGAATGGGAGGAGGTATGTAATCTAAAAAGAGATGCTGTCCACCACTGCAGGAGAGAAGTTATCCTAAAGAAGACCATCTTTAAGTAATTACTTACCATATTCCACAACCACAATAAACCCTGCTTTAAAAGGGGTTAAAAATTAGTAAAATTAGCTATTATCTTTCCAAAGCATAGTTTAAAACTACAGTACTGTGTATTATATGGTATTAATGTAAATAGGCAGACAATTGCATTTATTTTTAAATAAAAGATTAGGTCAGCAATTTAATTGCTAATGCTACAGAGAAGCATTGACTCCCATTTGTGCCATGCAGAATCACCAAACATTTTCTAAGATTTACCTCTGCTAGGTTTTCACTAGAGAAAATAGTTAATGTTCTAAGATTTGTGGTTCAGGATAGATTACCCATGACTGGTCATCCTTGGGGATTCAGCCGAGAGTTCAGCACAGCAGACTTTGAACTGTGTAGATAACACAAGGGACACCAAGTCAATAACTTATAATAGGTAACAACCTCAATGCAAGTAAATTAATGTTACATGTTTATTGAACATAAAAATAAAAATGTCTATGCCTTACCCACATAGCCTCTATTGTCTATTCCTTGCAGCTTCTTGTTTAAAGATTTAGAAAGACTTCTAAATTTTTTCTTCTCAGATTTATGAGAACTTTCATCTTCTTTACCCTGTTCATCTTGAGTTTGAAGTTCTTCAGGATTAGAAGCCTCCCTAGGTTTAACTGTTGAATACAATGGGTCATCCACATCACTGTCAGGGCCAGTCACATCTCCATTTGCTGAAGGTCTCTCTGTAATAAAAGTTATAAAATATTCAAGACACTTCTTTATATATTTTTTTACCATGCTTATCATTTCCAATCAAGGTAAGGTGACCCACAGAAAGAAAAACAATCATCCTCCTTCATTCAATAGCTATCTTACCAATACAATTCGAGACACTTTACTAAAACAAAATAGGGAGCCTTCGGAGTTTTCATATTCAAATCCACCACTATCACTACGTGGTATATATAAATTTTTGGCCTAAAGTAATTTGTGAAGATTTTTTATAATTTCCCCATCTATACATGTATATCCAAAAGATTTTTTGAAATTAGCCAATGTAGCATTAATGTGACCATCAAGTGATAATCTTTTTATTTATATTAGAAATGATCTGTGATGAATGTGGCAGAGATGCATCTTCATAAATACTGTACAAAAGAGCTATTATTTGCATCAAAATTTTGTGATTAATTTCTTTTCGTAGAGCTAGTTCAATTTAACATGCCCTCTCAATAATAGTTATAGTGTTTTCATGCTATAACTATTATCCAGAGGGCTGAGGAGGGCTTATTGAGATGGTTTAGACATGTAGAGAGGCTGGAACGAAATAGAATGACTTCGAGAGTGTATAAATCTGTAGTGGAGTGAAGGCAAGGTCAGGGTCAGCCTAGGAAAGGTTGGAGGGAAGGGGTAAAGGAGATTTTGTGTGCGAGGGGCTTGGACTTCCAGCAAGCGTGTGTGAGTATGTTAGATATGAGCAAATGGAGACAAATGGTTTTTAGGACTTGACGTGCTGTTGGAGTGTAGCAAGGTAACATTTACGAAGGGATTCAGGGAAACCGGCAGGCCGGACTTGAGTCCTGGAGATGGGAAATGCAGTGCCAGTGTTGCAGTTTTATAGCTGTAGTGTAAGCATACCACTGGCAAGACAGTGATGGAGTGAATGGTGATGAAAGTTTTTCTTTTTCGGGCCACCTTGCCTTGGTGGGAAACAGCCGATGTGTTAATAAAAAAATAAACATTACATATATGGCAGCCAGAATGAGATAGTCAGTCCCTTAGCCTTAAATAAAGTGTTCAGCACTTTACTCTTGACTGATCAAGACTAAGTTGCAGAACCCTTTCTTCAAGACTGAGGGATTGATGCCTTCATCTTAATCTGTTTTCCATATACAGTACATATATGCTCTGTACTGGCACAGACACTGCTTGGCAAAACACCTCCAAAATATAGATATTCAAGCATTGCATATGTCTTACTCCTCAACTTGTTAGTACAATATTGTGTATCATGAATAAAATAATAAATTGCTTTATACAGAATAACAAAACACAAATACTAGAGGAAATTATAAAGGAAATCTGATATGTACAGTGTTAGCCAACAGCTCTAGATAAACAGGTAAAATACCTTGGTCAAAAGCTTCATCGTCAACAAAGCTGACACGTCTCTGGGATGGTGGACGAGGGTCATACAACTTCCCTTTCTTTTGTTTTCCTGGCTTAGTTATGTGGTCCTCTGAAACTCTGCTGGGACTCTTAACCTCAGACCTTTAAAAAAATGTGAAAATAATTCGAAGAATGTATTTTTTGATGAAAAAATACATCTGAATAGACACTGTATATGTATTACCATTAATGGTTTAGTGCTTCCCCATGAATATAATACTACTACTCCTTAAAAAAGTTAACTCTATAAACCCCAATTTAAGGAACTTCAGAAATACAAGACAAAATCTGTTGGATCAACTGATTTGGAAACAATGGACAAAGTCCACTGGTTACAGAACTATCCATAATTGTTACAATCACAGTGAAACAATCTCATCTCTATCACAATCGTCACTACTAGCCACCCTCCCCCCAACTGAACATAAAGCAAAAATGTACTGCCAGGACTTGATGAGTGCAAATAATGAATCCCATGAAGTGGTCACATTATTCAAATTCACACTACATTGGACCCTCGGCTAATGATATTAATCCGTCCTACAGAGCTCATCGTTAGACGAAATTATCTTTAGCCAAATTAATTTTCCCCTTAAGAAATACAGTAGACCCTCGCCTAACGAACGCATTGCATAACGTTAAATCCACCTAGCGATACATTTTAACGCAAAAATTTTGCCTTGGCTAGTGCTAAAAAACTCGCCCAACGCGATTCGTACCATTCGAGACGCATCCACATGTGGCCTGAGTGCGCCTCACTTGTCCCGTGGGTGCCAACCACCGCGGTCGCATCCAAACATACAATCGGAACATTTCATATTATCACAGCGTTTTTAGTGATTGCACCTGCAAAATAAGTCACCATGGGCCTCAAGAAAGCTTCTAGTGCCAACCCTATGATAAAAAGGGTGAGAATTAGTATGGAAATTAAGAAAGATTTTGAAGGGTTTGGGGCTAACCCTGAGACGTCTATGCCAGTTGTGGAATCCATTGTGCCTACTTCAAAGATTAAGGAAATGTGTGCAAAGTGGGTTGAACTGCAAACCTTTATGAAAGAAAATCACCCTAACACAGCTATTGCAAGCCATGCTGGTGACTATTACAATGACGTGTTATGGCCCATTTTAGACAAATCTTAAAGGAACGGGAGGTACAGAGCTCTATGGACAGATATGTTGTGTGACAGAGGTCCAGTGACTCTCAAGCTGGCCCTAGTGGCATTAAAAGAAGAAGGGAAGTAACCCCGGAAAAGGACTTGACACCTCAAGTCCTAATGGAAGGGGATTCCCCTTCTAAACACTAAGACCATCAACACTCTCCCCTCCTCCCAGCCCATCAATCATCACCAGATCTTCAATAAAGGTAAGTGTCATGTAATTGTACATGTCTTCTTCAGTTTGTGTGTATTAAAATTAATATTTCATGTGGTAAAATTTTTTTTTTTTTATGCTTTGGGGTGTCAGGAATGGATTAATTTGATTTCCATTATTTCTTATGGGGAAAATTAATTCGGCTAACGATAATTTCGCCTAACGTTGAGCTCTCAGGAACGGATTAATATCATTAGGCGAGGGTCCACTGTAATGGAAATCCAATTAATCTGTTCCAGACAGCCAAAAGTATTAAAAAAAAAAAATTTTTTTCATGAAATACAAATTTCCCTACAAAGAAAACAATGAGACATGCACAATAACTATATAAATAAATTAAAATGACACTTACCTTTACTGAAGAGTATTGATGAGTGATGAGACACTGTTTTTTTTGAACACTGGGATTTTCACTGTGATACATGAGTAATGGCTTCACTTTGCAATCCCCACTAGCATTACAACAAAACAAGAAAGTTAGCCTGTCTTTCATAGGCTTGTGTCCTGGGAGTGCCTTTCCTCCTGAGTAATGTAGGTCCTGTTTGGCATTTTCTTCCAGAACAGGTCTGTTTTGTCACAATAGAGCACTTGTTGGGGTTGGAATTTTTCAGCTTCGCCATGCCTTATCACACTGTGTATGCCACAACGATTCTTAAATCTCTCAAACCAACCTTTGCTGGCCTTAAATTCACCAATATGAGCATAAGTTCCAGGTATTTTTTCCTGTTCACCTGGGTGTGAGTCGACTGGTGGGTCGCATCCTGGGAGACAAGCTTAAGGACCCTAATGATAATAAGTTAGACAGTCCTCGATGATACACTGACTTTCTGAGGTTATCCTGGGTGGCTAACCCTCTGGGGTTAATTGTCTCTCGGTAACTGTTTCTCGTAAAGCCACACCAACAACAGTCTCTCCACATCTTCGAGCATTACAGCTGACGGTGGTGCAGCAGCAGCTGACCGTGGTACAGCAGCAGTAGCAGCAGCTGACTGTGGTACAGCAGCAGCAGCAGCTGACTGTGGTACAGCAGCAGCTGATTGTGGTACGTTAAAATTTCGATAGTATTTCTCACCCTTTTTACCACAGGGTTGGCACTAGAAGCATTCTTTGGGCCCATGTTGGCTTATTTAACAGTTACAATGGAATAATACAAAATGTATCAAATGTATGCATGGAACCGGCCACCCTGGCTTATAAACAATGATGGCAGGGCAGCTGAGGAGCTCAGGCTGGACGGACAGGTTCGGGATGAATCACGTTGGTCGAGTTTTTCATCATTGGTTGGGCCAAAATTTTTACGCTCAAATGCTTTGTTAGGTGAATTTATCGCTAGACGATGCCTTCGTTAGCTGAGGGCCCACTGTATTTGAAATACATTCAATTTTTGCACACGATTTGAAGAGTATGGGAGAAAATAACTAACATTAATTTATTTTGTACTAAATCAAAATTTACACTAAAATTTGTAATAATAGAGACCTGACTGCAATTGAATCTTTGAAGAAGCCTACCTGAAACTATATGGAGGATTTTCGCTGTCTGCCTTATTCCCAAGATGTGGATCCATGCGAGTCAATGGTTTTAATTTGCGTGCTGCAACTGCTGGCTGGTCTGTAAACCATTGTCAGAAAATTTCTCACAAAAATATATGTAAATTGTACAGTAATCTCTTTTACAAAGCACCTCTATATACATAGTGCAAATTTTTTTAATGTTAGTGAAAAACTGAATTCAAAATTGAATAGGATGTGCAGAGGCCTTCATAGTACACTTTCTATTTTGGGATGCACTCATTACTGGCTTGTTGTGTTAATAGTTGTCAAAGGCATTTATCGATAGCGTACGTGAGTGCGCATATGTATGTTCATGTGAGTAATTGTGAGTAATCTTCACAATTGTGAGGTAGTGTTAACACAGATATTTTTAAGCACACATGTAATATTAATATTTTAAATAGAAAGAGAGAGCCACAGAATTTGGTAAGCACAAGCCTATCTGACATTATCCTGACACCAAATGACTTCGAACAGGCGATAAATAACATGCTCATGCACTCTGCCCCAGGCCCAGACTCATGGAACTCCGTGTTCATCAAGAACTGCAAGAAGCCCCTATTACATGCTTTTAACATCCTATGGAAAGGAAGCATGGACACTGGGGTCATCCCACAGTTACTAAAAACAACAAACATAGCCCCACTCCACAAAGGGGGCAGTAAACCAATAGCAAAGAACTACAGACCGATAGCGCTATCATCCCATATCATAAAAATCTTGGAAGGGTTCTAAGAAGCAAGATCACCACCCACCTAGATACCCATCAGTTACACAACCCAGGACAGGATGGGTTTAGAGCAGGTCACTCCTGTCTCTTCCAACTACCGGTCCACTACGACAAGGTCCTGGATGCTACGAAAAGTTCTTGGATGCTATAGCAGACAAACAGAACGCAGATGTAATATACACAGACTTTGCAAAAGCCTTCGACAAGTGTGACAATGGTATGATAGCGCACAAAATGCGTGATAAAGGAATAACAGGAAAAGTTGGTAGATGGATCTATAATTTTCTGACAAATAGAACACAAAGAGTAGTAGCCAACAGAGTAAAGTCGGAGGCGGCTACAGTGAAAAGCTTTGTTCCGCAAGGCACAGTACTCACTCCCATCTTGTTCCTCATCCTCACATCGGACATAGACAGGGATATAAGCCACAGCACTGTGTCTTCCTTTGCAGATGACACCCGAATCTGCATGACAGTGCCCTCCATTGAAGACACTGCAAGGCTCCAGGAGAACATCAACCAAATATTTAAATGGGCTGCAGAAAACATTATGAAGTTCAGTGATGAGAAATTTCAACTACTCCGATAAGGTAAACTTGAGGAAATTAAAATTTCATTGGAATATAAAACAAATTCCAATCACACAATAGAGAGAAAAACTAACGTCAAAGACCTGGGAGTGATCATGTCAGAAGATCTCGCCTCCAAGGACCATAACATTATATCAATCGCATCTGCTAGAAAAATGACAGGTTGGATAATGAGAACCTTCAAAATCAGGGATGCCAAGCCCATGATGACACTCTTCAGATCGTTAATTTTATCTAGGCTGGAACATTGCTGCACCCTAACAGCACCTTTCAAGGCAGTTGAAATTGCTGACCTAAAAAATGTACAGAGAACCTTCACGGCATGCATAACAGATAAAACACCTCAATTACTGGGAACACTTGAAGTTCCTAAACCTGTACTCCCTAGAATGCAGGCAAGAGAGACACGTACATGATTATATATATGTACTTGGAAAATCCTAGGATTAGTACCAAACATGCACATGAAAATCACTCCCTACTAAAGCAAAAGACTTGGCAGATGATGCAACATATCCCCAATGAAAAGCAGGGGTGCCACTAGCACATTAAGAGACAACACAGTACGTGTTAGGGGCCCAAGACTGTTCAACTGCCTCCCAGCATACATAGACCCCTGGCTGTCTTCAAGCAGGCGCTGGACAAGCACCTAAAGTCAGTACCTGACCAGCCGGGCTGTGGTTTGTATGTTGTTTTGCATGCGACCAGCAGTAACAGCCTGGTTGATCAGGCCCTGATCCACCATGAGGCCTGGTCACAGACCAGGCCACGAGGGTGTTGAACCCCAAAACTCTCTCCAGGTAAACTCCAGTATCAACTGGGTATCAGCCTCTTTTATCGATATTAATACCAATGCCATAACAATGGCTGATACCTGTCAGTATCAGTAGGTTTTGTCCATTACTTTAAAATTGTTATATACAGTTTACCATAATACACACAGTAGCATTACGTTGTATGCAAACTTTGGGTACTACACACCGTAGTACATGATTCCTTCCCTCCTACTGACAACCCGTGCCACCTATGGCTGCATTATGGAAGTCTTGTGTCTCACTTACTATACTGGATGCTATATCACTGTTACGGTTCGAATCTTAATCTTTAGCCAGGTTAGTGCACTCTCTAACAATACACTTCATAGAATGAGAAGATACTTCCAAAATTAGAAATGTAAGGCACAAATAATAGTTACTCAGTCTTTTCTAGCTTCTTTTTATTTAAAAGCTTAAATACTTCTTAGATATTCATAAATATCTATTAAATATCACTTTGTCAGAAACTTTCATTCACATAAGAAAACACTTAAATAGAATGTACATCAATATGGTCACTACACTTGTTAAATGATCAGAGGAATATTACTGCTTCCTCAATAATGACATTACTTGTACGCGAGAATATACATTGAGAATGGACACCTTCACTGAGTAACTCCCTGGCATAAGGAATATATCACTTAAAGTTCTAAACCTGACACAGGCCGTCACATCGCAAACTGAAGGTAACAGCACATAACTGTCCGCAGACTTCACTTCAGAATAAACCTCAAGCTGGTTCGGGAGTTTCTACAACAGAATTCTCTATCCAAGTGAGAATAAGGTGGAGTACTAGAGGGGTAGCTCAGTCAATGCACACTGAGTCGGCAGAGAGAGTGAGCTGAACTAACACAGTTAATCCCTACATGACATCAACTCTCCAAAGGGGAGAGGGAAGAGTAGGCTAAACTACCCTCCAAGGACATACCTTGTTTCAACTCTTAGTCAGCTGTTACCTACCTACCCAACACATTACTCAAAATACATAAATATATATATACACATCATACCCGGGTATATTCCTCAATCAGATAATATTATAAACTAGTGGAATCTTTAATTTAGCTAATATTAAAGAAACCCCGAGTATAATATTAAGTGGATAATACATATATAAATTGATCTCATTATGGCCTTGATCATAACAATCACTATACTGGATGCTGCACTTGTCTATGGATATCTTGTTTATGGATATTAACCATGGTACACAAGAGCTGCCAGTGATGCTGGAGGTGCTAAGAAGAATCTCTTCTCACATGCACCTTGACTTTATATATGTACTCTGTTTCTTGTATCCTTTGTATCACAGAAGTGAACAAGGTTGCAGGACTGAAACATTTTCTAAATAAAACATCTTAGGTGTTTCCACATGTGCCCTTTTTCTCCATGCCTTATAGAATTTGTTACTCCCAAAATATGGCAAGATTCACATTTTCTTATACTGTACACTTGCTTCATAACATAATAAAATACCAAAAATTTAAAAAGCTGAAAACAGTCTAAATTTATTTTCAAGAACAGTATACAGGATATACATATATGTATAATATTTTTAAGAGCCCATAGTATGTGTGCAACTTAGACAAAGATTACAGCTACTTAACAGAACATAGTCTGGAGGTTCTCTAAGTCAGTGTGTTCTTTCAGTTTGTGCATTGTCTAAGTTTATGTATCTATATTTATGTGGTTAAAGTAAGAGTTAATAAAGCTAATTATAAGATTATACAACACAGAAAGAATTGTAAGTTTAAGAATCTAGATAAGCTGTTTTGTATTGTTTGCATAACTATGGGCTTTTCCACGTGCAATAGAAAAACAAGCAATGTAAAACTTATTTAATTCCATGGAAAATAAACTTCACTTTACTTACTCTAAATAAGTATACAAGATATGATGTAGGGCGAAATGACAGTAGTTTGTTGGATTATGTATTGGTAGATAAAAGACTGTTGAGTAGACTTCAGGATGTACATGTTTATAGAGGGGCCACAGATATATCAGATCACTTTCTAGTTGTAGCTACACTGAGAGTAAAAGGTAGATGGGATACAAGGAGAATAGAAGCATCAGGGAAGAGAGAGGTGAAGGTTTATAAACTAAAAGAGGAGGCAGTTAGGGAAAGATATAAACAGCTATTGGAGGATAGATGGGCTAATGAGAGCATAGGCAATGGGGTCGAAGAGGTATGGGGTAGGTTTAAAAATGTAGTGTTAGAGTGTTCAGCAGAAGTTTGTGATTACAGGAAAGTGGGTGCGGGAGGGAAGAGGAGCGATTGGTGGAATGATGATGTAAAGAGAGTAGTAAGGGAGAAAAAGTTAGCATATGAGAAGTTTTTACAAAGTAGAAGTGATGCAAGGAGGGAAGAGTATATGGAGAAAAAGAGTGAGGTTAAGAGAGTGGTGAAGCAATGTAAAAAGAGAGCAAATGAGAGAGTGGGTGAGATGTTATCAACAAATTTGGTTGAAAATAAGAAAAAGTTTTGGAGTGAAATTAACAAGTTAAGGAAGCTTAGAGAACAAATGGATTTGTCAGTTAAAAATAGGAGAGGAGAGTTATTAAATGGAGAGTTAGAGGTATTGGGAAGATGGAGGGAATATTTTGAGGAATTGTTAAATGTTGATGAAGATAGGGAAGCTGTGATTTCGTGTATAGGGCAAGGAGGAATAACATCTTGTAGGAGTGAGGAAGAGCCAGTTGTGAGTGTGGGGGAAGTTCGTGAGGCAGTAGGTAAAATGAAAGGGGGTAAGGCAGCCGGGATTGATGGGATAAAGATAGAAATGTTAAAAGCAGGTGGGGATATAGTTTTGGAGTGGTTGGTGCAATTATTTAATAAATGTATGGAAGAGGGTAAGGTACCTAGGGATTGGCAGAGAGCATGCATAGTTCCTTTGTATAAAGGCAAAGGGGACAAAAGAGAGTGCAAAATTATAGGGGGATAAGTCTGTTGAGTATACCTGGTAAAGTGTATGGTAGAGCTATTATTGAAAGAATTAAAAGTAAGACTAAGAATAGGATAGCAGATGAACAAGGAGGCTTTAGGAAAGGTAGGGGGTGTGTGAACCAGGTGTTTACAGTGAAACATATAAGTGAACAGTATTTAGATAAGGCTAAAGAGGTCTTTGTGGCATTTATGGATTTGGAAAAGGCGTATGACAGAGTGGATAGGGGGGCAATGTGGCAGATGTTGCAGGTGTATGGTGTAGGAGGTAGGTTACTGAAAGCAGTGAAGAGTTTTTACGAGGATAGTGAGGCTCAAGTTAGAGTACATAGGAAAGAGGGAAATTATTTCCCAGTAAAAGTAGGCCTTAGACAAGGATGTGTGATGTCACCGTGGTTGTTTAATATATTTATAGATGGGGTTGTAAGAGAAGTAAATGCGAGGGTCTTGACAAGAGGCGTGGAGTTAAAAGATAAAGAATCACACATAAAGTGGGAGTTGTCACAGTTGCTCTTTGCTGATGACACTGTGCTCTTGGGAGATTCTGAAGAGAAATTGCAGAGATTGGTGGATGAATTTGGTAGTGTGTGCAAAAGAAGAAAATTAAAAGTGAATACAGGAAAGAGTAAGGTTATGAGGATAACAAAAATATTAGGTGAAGAAAGATTGGATATCAGATTGGAGGGAGAGAGTATGGAGGAGGTGAATGTATTCAGATATTTGGGAGTGGACGTGTCAGCGGATGGGTCTATGAAAGATGAGGTGAATCATAGAATTGATGAGGGGAAAAGGGTGAGTGGTGCACTTAGGAGTCTGTGGAGACAAAGAACTTTGTCCTTGGAGGCAAAGAGGGGAATGTATGAGAGTATAGTTTTACCAACACTCTTATATGGGTGTGAAGCATGGGTGATGAATGTTGCAGCGAGGAGAAGGCTGGAGGCAGTGAAGATGTCATGCCTGAGGGCAATGTGTGGTGTGAATATAATGCAGAGAATTCGTAGTTTGGAAGTTAGGAGGAGGTGCGAGATTACCAAAACTGTTGTCCAGAGGGCTGAGGAAGGGTTGTTGAGGTGGTTCGGAGATGTAGAGAGAATGGAGCGAAACAGAATGACTTCAAGAGTGTATCAGTCTGTAGTGGAAGGAAGGCGGGGTAGGGGTCGGCCTAGGAAAGGTTGGAGGGAGGGGGTAAAGGAGGTTTTGTGTGCGAGGGGCTTGGACTTCCAGCAGGCGTGCGTGAGCGTGTTTGCTAGGAGTGAATGGAGACGAATGGTTTTTAATACTTGACGTGCTGTTGGAGTGTGAGCAAAGTAACATTTATGAAGGGGTTCAGGGAAACCGGCAGGCCGGACTTGAGTCCTGGAGATGGGAAGTACAGTGCCTGCACTCTGAAGGAGGGGTGTTAATGTTGCAGTTTAAAAACTGTAGTGTAAAGCACCCTTCTGGCAAGACAGTGATGGAGTGAATGATGGTGAAAGTTTTTCTTTCTCGGGCCACCCTGCCTTGGTGGGAATCAGCCAGTGTGATAATAAAAAAATAAAATATTTACTTACTCTGTGAATCACTCTGAGACGAGAGTTGACTTTCTTGTTTCTTAGGTGGTGGTGGTGGAACTATCTCTGATATACTATCCCAGTCAGACCCAGAATCCTCATCTCTGGCTGTTCGCCCACGCATCTCGTCTTGCAAGTATGAAGCTCAACTGTATTAAATAAAGGGGATATAAATGTGTAGAAAATATCTAGCCAAGACTGGACTCGTAATAATGGATCCGAGTAATATGCGAGTCTGCATTTAACATTTGGGAGTGCATATAATGTATGGGTTGGTACATAATGAACAGGTCCATACATAATTTTCAGATTCACATATAATGTGGGTCCAAGTATAATGTACAGGTCTGGACACAACATGCGGGTTCACATATTATATAAGTGTGCATATACTGTGGACCCCCGCCTTACGATCAGCTCCCAACTCGACCAATTATGTAAGTGTATTTTTGTACGTGCTTTTGTACGTGTATTTTTGGGAGTCTGAAACTGACTAATCTAATTCACAATATTCCTTATGGGAACAAATTTGGTCGGTAACGGCACCCGAACAGACTTCTTGAATGAAATAATATTGTAAGGCGGGGGTCCACTGTATAATGTACAAGTTCATACATAATGTACACCTACCATCTGACTTACGACCGAGTTCGGTTCCGAGAAACCGGTCGTAAGTCGAAATGGTCATAAGTCGAACTTTACTACTGAATATCAACAAAACATTTTTGTAATGACTTTATTTTATTGTTTTATTTTGGTATTTCATGTTTTACTTTACTTTTTTTGCTGTTAGTACTGTATTTTATACTGTAAGCTTTAGGATAAACACTGTGTACAACACAAATAGTTGTTTATTTCCCAGAAATTTGGCATAAAAAACACGGTCGTAAGTCGAGTGGTCATAAGTCGGATGGTAGGTGTATTTATGTATGTAATGTGCACATGTATGTGTACATGTATGTGTATATGTATATGTATAGTACAGTATATGTCAATATTGAGAGTAAGTTTGTTGTTTGCTGTCTGGGTAGAAAGAAATCTTTAAGAGTTCCTCACTGACTGTGTTGTTGAGAACAAGATGTGGATTAGATATGACAAATGTGTCGTTTACAAACTGGACTGATTTAACCCTTTGGGGGTTTCGGACGTACTAGTATGGCTTACGCGCAGGGGTTTTTGACGTACTAGTACGCATAAATTCTAGCACCGTCAAATCTCGCGGGAAAAGGCTGGTGAGAGAATGGGTCTGTGTGGTCGGTGTGCGCGGTAGAAAAAAAATCTGGGACCCAGTGGTGCACTGTGGGAACCCCATCTTAGTACACAATGTCCACCATGCCTCGCGGTAAGAAGTTCCTCACTCCTCGGCGAATTGGGACACTTTTGTTCCTCAGTGACAGTTCTAATACAGATGGAAGTGCCAGTGAAGATGAGTTTCAAGGTTTTGGTGAGGTTTTGACCGAAACTAATGACCATAATATCGGTAATAGTGAGGAAAACCCAGACGACTCTCAACCTTCCACCTCTGGCGCTGGGCTGTCTTGTTCACGTTCAGTTGTACCAGAATCAAAGAGGAAACTCCTATTTTCCCAAATACCAGACTCAGATGTGAGCATTTGTGATGATAGTGATGGTGATTATGAACTACAAGCTCTTGAAAACAGTTCCAGTAGTGATAGTGAAGTGGAATATTCCCCAGTGACGTGTCAGTATATATGACGATATATGCGCTCTGGTAGTGTGCCATATGCTATTCCAAGGGGAAGGAGTACATCTAGGAGTACATCCCATGGCTGTACAACAGGAACAGACAGTGAAAATGACGATGATAGTGTTGCAATTGGGATGGAAAATGTGCATGGTGGTGGTAGTGGTGGTGACGGCCGTGAGGCCCAGCATGGGCATGCTGCCACCCACCCCGCTCCCCTCAGCTGCTCTACAACAAAGGCCACCATCCCCCACCCACCCACCACACCAGCCTCCACAACCACAACCTCCACAATCACAACCTCCACAACCACAACCACCTGTCATTGTCCAGTACCCACCAGGCAGGAAGCTGTCAATTTTGTTCCAAATCCCCACCAGTTTGATGACAGCCAAAGTGGAATACGGCCATCCTGTACACTTGGGAACAATGCCAGTGAACTGGAATGTTTCGAGTTATTCTTTGATGAACCCCTGAGGGAAAGTATTGTCATGGAAAGCAAAACATACTATGAGTACACCATGGCAAACACAATACTTTCACTAAAATCACGACTACACCAGTGGAAGGAGGCAACTGTGGCCGAGATGTATCCTTTCTTTGCCACAATAATGTTTATGCCACATGTGTATAAGCACAAAGTGAAATCATACTGGTCAACAGACCGCCTAATTGCAACCACAGGTTTCAGTGATATAATGCCAGTGAATCGATTTGTGCTAATGTTATGTATGCTTCACTTCTCAGACAAAGCCAGGCCTGACAGAAACGACAGGTTATATAAAATTAGGCATGTGTTTGTGTATCTGAAAGAGAAATTCAATATGTATTTTTATCCCTTCAGGAACCTTGTAATTGACGAGTCTTTGATTCTGTTTAAAGGAAGGCTCTTTCAAGCAGTACATACCAAGCAAGAGGAAACGCTTTGGTATAAAGTTGTTTGTGTTTTGGGGATTGTTACAGGGGGTCTGGTTTTGGATATTATTGTGTACACTGGAAGTTTTTACATTGCAAAATACCAGGAAGTTACTGGGCATCTCTGGTGATGTGGTTAGAACAATGATAGAACCATACCTTGGTAAGGGGCATATATTATATACTGATAACTGGTACACAAGCCCCACTCAGTGATTTTTGCGAGTGAACATGACAGATTTTGGCACAGTGCGGGGCAAAATCGGAAACATATGCCCAGGTTTGACGCTGGCAACTCTAGAGGTGAGGTGAGGCATTTGCTGCCAATGACATCATGGCATTTCGGTGGCATGACAAACGAGATGTCACACTGTTGTCATCAATTCACCTAATGAATGGCAGACACTGGCAGGCAGCATAGAGAGAGCAATGAACCCATTCCAAAAAACCTACAGCTGTGATTGATTACACCTTCAATATGCATTAGTGGAAAAATGTGACATGCAGATTGGTTTGCTGATTGTGTTCACAAGAGTTATAAGGGGTACATAAAACTCTTTTTCCATCTTTGGACTTTCCATGCTCAATGTTTATAAATGTATAAGATGAGGACCAAAACAAAAACCCCAATATGGCGAATTCTGTTTATCTGTCATCAGACAAATAGTATTCAAGTACCAAGGAAGAAACACCTGCAATAGACCGCCCACCAATTATCAACCAACTAACCCTTTTCGTCTGAAGCATAGTGATCACTTCCTAGTAAAACTGCCTGCTACTGCTTTCAAGAAAAAGGCTCAGAAGAGGTGTTACATCTGTGCACATACAAGGAAACGCCCACAACAATGCAGAGACACTCGTTTTATGTGTGAGGAATGTAAAACACCACTGTGCATGACACCATGTTTCAAAGACTTCCACAGGCTGCAGAACTTCTAGAAACATTACCTGTGACTGTATATGTGTATATAAAATATAGAAAAATAGTAATAAACAACATTTCATATCGTTTGTTTGTGTAAATATTTTCTATAACAAAACAATGACAACAGTGTTTACGCCCTTATTGTGTAGTATTGAAAAAGAAAAAACTTACAAAATACTGATCATATTGGTCTCACAGGCCATAAAAGTTACTTGGAAAAAAAAAATTAAAAAATAATAGAAAATTGTACATAAAACAGTAACTAAAAGAATACCGGGAGACAGCAGTCGGCGATGTTGCCACATTGTCCCCCTTTTTCGTCAACTTCACGCTTCCATATCTCGGTAAGTATTGATGGTAAAAAATTTTTGTTTAGAAAATGTTTAGAAAAATGTTTAGAAAAAAAAAAACTATTTTTTCATAAGGAAATTGTTTTTTTTTTTGAAATTTGGCCGACCCTGAGGACGAGTCTCTGAGAGGACCTGTCGACCCTCGAAGGGTTAAACGTATAAGAGAAAACTTTAGATAGGACTTAATTTTAAATGAATTCTTGCTAACTGACCAATTTTACTTATTTAGCACGAGAAACAGACAGACAGACAGACAGACAGACAGACAGACAGACAGACAGACACACACACACAGACACACACACACACACATATTGGAGTATGCGGCACCAGTTTGGAACCCACACCTAGCCAAGCACGTAAAGAAACTAGAGAAAGTACAAAGGTTTGCAACAAGACTAGTTCCAGAGCTAAAAGGTATGTCCTATGAGGAGAGGTTAAGGGAAATCAACCTGACGACACTGGAGGACAGGAGAGATAGGGGGGGACATGATAACGACATACAAAATACTGAGAGGAATTGACAAGGTGGACAAAGACAGGATGTTCCAGAGATGGAACACAGCAACACGGGGACACAGTTGGAAGTTGAAGACACAGATGAATCACAAGGATGTTAGGAAGTATTTCTTCAGCCACAGAGTAGTCAGGAAGTGGAATAGTTTGGGAAGCAATGTAGTGGAGGCAGGATCCATACATAGCTTTAAGCAGAGGTATGATAAAGCTCACGGTTCAGGGAGAGTGACCTAGTAGCGACCAGTTAAGAGGCAGGGCCAGGAGCTTGGACTCGACCCATGCAACCTCGTCTAGGTGAGTACAACTAGGTGAGGTGAGTACACACACACACACATATATATGTATATGTATACTATGTATATTTTTTTGTTAATATGCCTACCATCTCCCACTGAGGCAGGGTGACCCAAAAAAGAAAAACAATCGCCACCATTCTACACTTTCACCATCATTCACACAATCACTGTCTTTGCTGAGGTGCTCAGATACACACTCTCTGAGCGCCTCTACAAAGACAGCGATGGTGAAAGTGTTGAAATGATGGTTTACATGGAAAAGGTTTCGGGGGTCAACGCCCACGTGGCTCAGTCTGAGACCAGGCTTCATGGTGGATCAGGGTCTTATCAACCAGGCTGTTACTGCTGGCCACACACAAACTGACATATGAGCCACAGCCAGGTTGTTCAGATACCGACTTTAGGTGCCTGTCCAGTGCCTTCTTGAAGACAGCCAGGGGTCTATTGGTAATCCCCCTTATGTATGCCGGGAGGCAGTTGAACACTCTTGGGCCCCTGACACTTATTGTGTTATCTCTCAGTGTACTCGTGGCACCCCTGCTTTTCATTGGGGAATGTTGCATCTCATGCCAAGTCTTTTGCTTTCATAGGGAGTGATTTTCGTGTGCAGGTTTGGTATTATTATAATCAAGGGGGAAGCACTAAACCCGTAGGATTATACAGCGCCTATGGGGGGATGGAAGGCATTCAGGCTTAATTCAGGGAACTGGAGCACAGATCCAATTCCCTAGATCAAGAGCCCCTCACCAGCGTCAAGGAGCCTTCCTTGAGGGGACTGCAGGTTTGGTAACAATCCCTCCAGGGCCTTTTGAGTGTATATTGTCATGTATCTCTCTCGCCTGCATTCCAGGGAATACAGATCAAGGACCTTCAACCATTTCCAGTAATTTAGGTGCCTTATCGTACTTATGTGTGCCGTGAAAGTTTTTTGTACACTCTCCAGGTTTGCAATGTCGCCAGCCTTGAAGGGGTCCATTAGTTTACAGCAGTATTCCAGCCTAGAGAGAACAAGTGATTTGAAGAGTGTCATCATGGGTTTGGCATCCCTAGTTCTGAAGGTTCTCATTATCCATCCTATCATTGTCCTAGCCGATGAGGCAGATACATTGTTGTGGTCTTTGAAGACAAGATCCTCTGACATTATCATTCCCAGGTCCTTCACATTTCTTTTTTGCTCTATTGTATGGTTAGAATTTGTCGTATACCCTGATATATTCTTAATTTCCTCCAAGTTTTCCATATCTGAGTAGTTGAAATTTTCCTCGTTGAACTTCATATTGTTTGTTTCTTTTTTTGGGTCACCTTGCCTAGGTGGGAGACAGCAGATGTGTTGGAAAAAAAAAGAGGTGGAGGAGAGTGATTTTTTAAATAGTTACAATTCATAAACCTATTATTTTAGGCTGATCTTTACTATTTAATGTTCATGTAAATAACTCAGTTCACTTTATTCCTATTGTACCTCTTTTCACTGTTAAGTAATTTTCACTCAGTTGAGTTACTTAGCCGTTTTAATCTTTAAGGCTATAATCATGACTGACTTCTACTGTATCTTACAGCTAGACTTTAAATAAGATATTACATGGAACCAAATGGATTATTATTATTATAATCAAGGGGGAAGCGCTAAACCCGGAGGATTATACAGCGCCTGGGGGGGGGGGGATGTGGAAGGCATTCAGGCTTAATTCGGAGAACTGGAGCACAGATCCAATTCCCTAAATCAAGAGCCCCTCACCAACATCAAGGAACCTTCCTTGAGGGGGAACCAAATGGAAATTAAGTTACTTTGACTTTTTTTGGGGTTATCCTAGTAATTTACATATATGTTACTATATATGATGATTGTACTTACGTGTACCTGTACCTAAATAAACTTACTACCTGACCTAAATAAAAATTTACATTGAATGTTAAAATGTCAATAATCACCCGTATATTAAATGTTGAGACACGGCTTTCTCTTCTGCTTTGATTATTAAAATATGTCTCTGCACTCCGCAGTATAATCTGCAGAACTGTGGTGTCTCTAATGAGGTATAAACTACAATTTCAGCAAAAATGAAGTGAAGAAATGCGAAAAAAAACACACTGCTTTGTTTGTTGTTTGTGGGATTCTCCAGGGCCACCATAGTTGACGCTTTATTGAGCTCTTCCTCTCGGAGTCCAACAGTAAAAAAAAAAAAATATTGCCTAAATCTGTTTAAGGATGGGGAGAAAAAAAAGCTTCCGGGGGGGGAAAACTGGGGGAGCATTAAATAATGCCCCCCAGTGGCGAACTGTTTCTTTAAGGGCCCGGGGCCCTTCCCTTTTTCTACAGCAGCATAACTTTCTCTGACCCTTTAAAAAAATTTCTCGAAAAAAGGCTACTGGTCGTCCTCCCTGAGAAAATTACGCAGCAATGGCAATTTTCAGTGCACCCTTTTTCCATTGAATGGTGGGGTCATCAATGGCTTGAAAACCTGATTTTTCAATGCCCTTTTTGAGAGTATAAAAAGGGCGACTTCTGTTTCCTTTTGGGTCACAGGAAATTAGGTTTGACTCAATGGGTGGACTTTACTTGAATATTGTAGATCCATTTTTAGTAATAAGAAAAAGGGGACCAAGAGTTCTTCGGGGGAGCTTTTTTTCTTGAGCCAAGGGGAATTCCCGTAAAAGGTCGAGTTTTCGGGGCCCTGGGTTTTTATTGAACCCCTTCCACTATATAACCAAGGATCCCTAACCCTTTTAAATTAAAAAAAAGTGCACTTTTTCTCATTGAAACTGATATTTTTCTTCTTGGGGGCTTCCAAAAACTTTTAAAGGTTTTTGAAATCATTTTCCCTCGGGGGTCTTCCCAAAAATTGGTAAAAATTATCTAAATACCATAAGTTCCCATGATTTTGTTCTTCCTGAATGAGTGAACCATAATTCTTTTGGGAAGGGAAGGCTCCCCCAATTTTGGTGCCCCAAAAAGGGCCCTTGGTAAACTGAAAAGGGGCCATCATTTGCCTTAAAAGCTGTGTATGGTTTATCTTTCTTTCCCCTTTTTGGGGAATTCTTGAAAAGGCACTCTGTAATCTTTTGTGTAAACACTTTAAACTGAGAAATTTTTTTCCCCTGTTTCTCAATTCGGGTAAAAGGGTCCCCATCAAAAAGTGAAAATTTTTTGTTGTTTGCCCTCAGAGTAATAAATACCCCAGTCCCCTTTTCCTTAACATTTTTAAACCCAAACAACAACCTGTGCACCCAAGGGGGTTTAAATTTGGTTCTCCAATACCCCCAAAGCAGCCCTGATTTTTTTTTCAATAACATCCGATCCCATAAAAAACTGGGGCCGTGACTTACTGATTTAGGATGGCAATCCGAGGAAAGATTTGCAAACGTTTTGGTGATTTAAAACCCTTTAAAGTGCAAAGGGTCCAAAAGAAAAACAAAAAGGGGGGCAGTTCACCTCCATTTTTAAAGGTGACACACCATGCAGCTTCTAAAAGCCCTGACCAAGGAAAACATCAGAGCACATTTGGGCCCGAATGCTAAATGTACATCTTAAAAAACCCTTTTCCATTAACTCTGTTTTTTACCTTAAAAAACCCCAAAGGGGTGAATAGAGAGAGATTTTGTCCCCCTGGAAAGGGTACCTGATGAGTGATGAAACAGTCAATGAGGGGGCGTTTAAAAAGTAAAGGGTTTGATGAAACCCTGACTCCACATCAATAAGACCATCTACTTCTGTTCCTTTGATGAATACTTTACAACTGCCTTTGACAGTGAAATTTTGGATTTACCGCAGAAGTCACGGGTTGCTAAGTCGAAAGATCTTTAAAATGTGGGAGAAAACTAGTTTCTTGTTGATGCATTAAACGACATACTTTAGAAAAGTGACCTTTCTTGTGGCTTTTAGGGCAATTGCTTCCGAGCGGGAAACCCCTTTGGACGTGGATGTTTTGAAAAAAACCACAAAAGAAAAAAAACCGAAACCTGCTGTTTCCCCGGCACTAAAGACATTTCCCAAAATTTAAATTTAAAATTGCAAGGGGTTTGGTCGGGAATTGCGACTTCCCCTTCGAAAAGGGGCTGAGTGGTACTTTTATACTTCGAATTCTTCGGGGCCCTGAACTAGAGCTCTTGGCTGGTAAAAGGGCCAGCGGCAAAAGTCGGGGGTTTTTTTATTCCCCAAAAAAACCCCTTGCCTTATTTTTGGTGTTTTTGAAGGAACTGAAAAAGCATCCCGATGGACCTTCACAATCCGGAAAGCTGTCACTTTTTTTGGAATTGACGGGTCCTTCCCTAAAATTTTCAGTGCTTGAAGGTTTTCCCTCTAAGGACCATCAATCTGCTGGCGGCGGTTGCAAGGCGAAAAAAAAGGGTGAAAAGTTTTCATTTGTAGGTTTAATTACTGAGACTTGGGGGTTTTTGATGCATTTTCGTGGGTTTATTACACTCAGAAATACCCCCCCTCAATATCTTAGGTGACAAAAAATTGAGGGCCCAGACTTATTTTTATTTAGATCTTTTTTGGGAAGGGCCCCCAAGAAGTTTTCGAAGTTTTAAAAAACCAGTGCTTCCCTTTCCTGAGCACCCGTTGAAAAAATTCCTTGGGGCCCACAGTCTAGCCTCTAAGGTTTCAGAAAACGCTCCAGGTTTGATGTAGCCCTAGTCGGGAACCCACCCCAGGTACCCCAGGATTCAAATTTTCAGAAAATTTTTTGTGATAGAAAAAGGCCTTATCTCTAGGCTTTATTAACATAAAAATCTTCAAAAACCCTTCTGAAACAACAAAATATAATAAATAGTACATCTAAAAATTTTTTTTACAGGGATGGTGATGTCTTGATATGTAAAAGAGGAAATTTTATAATTCAGGCCACATTTTTAAACCCCCTTTTGTAATCGGCACCCACTGATATTTTGGATATAGTAGGAGGAATCACACACCATGTTTTGGGGCCCCATGCACACACCAAACTGTTGTTGTTTTTTAAGGGCCCCGAGGGGTGGGCAGTTTTTAATTCCTGCTGCTGCTCCCCCCAACGGGGAAGCAGTATCACTACAGGGGGGAAAAACCAAACTGGATAGGTCCCACAAAACCCAAAGGAGGGTGGGCCCCAGACAGCACTCCCCGTGGGTCCTAAGGGGAGGGGCAGAGATTTTTTTGGTTTTCCATTAAAAAAAGATCTTAAAACCTTTCCTTTTAAACTGGGAAAACCCCTGGGTAGGAAGTGGCAATGTACCCCCTTTTTTTAAAAAAGGGAGAAAGACGGGAGGCTTAAACTCCCAGCCCTTTTTAATCACAAAAAACGTGTATGGGTATTGGCAAAGTCAGGGAAAAGATCATCAGGAGAGAGGGGTGGGCACCGGGAAAAAAGCAAGTGTATAATTGGAAAACCCCCGGGTTTTCAAAAGGGAAAACCCCTTTGCCAAAAAACCCTACTGGAGTTTTATGAAAAGGGTTGACGAAGTAAGACAAGAGAGAGAGGGGTGGATCGACTGCATTTTTTTGGACTGCAAAAGGCCTTGACACGTTCCTCAAAAGGGAGGTTACTGAAAAAAGGCTAGAGGAAAAAGGCACAAAATTAACAGGAAAGAAAATGAAAAGGATCAGAGAATACCTGCAGGGGGGCCCAAAAAACCAGTCCCGGTCCCGGACGGGGGTGTCAAAGTGGGCCCCTTTTTACAAGGGGGGTTTCCACGGGGGTCAGTCCTAGGACCTTTTGCGTTTTTGGTATATGTGAATGACATAACAAAAGGGATAGCCCTCAGAAGTGTCCTTGTTGCAAAATGATGTGAATTAAGAGAAGAATCAAATTGGACAAAAACAGGCGGATTTAAAAAGAGACCTGGAAAAGGCTCCCAACCCCTATCCACCCAACTGGCCCTTTTGATTTTAACCCTCCCAAAAATGAAAAGCCCATGAAGATTGGGGAAGGGCAAAAACCGAAAAACCCCAATATAGTCTAGAGGGCCCAAAAAGGACTAAAAACCCTTTCACTAAAGGAAAACAAAGATCTGGGGGTGAGTATAACACCAAAGAAAAATTCCTGGGGGCACACATCGGGAGTAACTGCTGCAGCATAGGGGCGTCTGGAAAACCCTCGGTTATCATTCCGATACCTCAGTAAGGAATCGTTAAACCCCTCGTATACCATTTACGCACCCCCCTTACTGGAGTATGCACACCATTTTGGGAAACCCCCACCCCCTGGTAAAAGCAGTCAAAAAATTTTAGGGGACAGTGCAAAGGGTTTTGAAAACAAGACTACCCCAGGCTACGGGGATTGCCCTCAAAAGAAAGGTTGAGGGAAATCGGCCTGACGACACGGGAGGAAAAGGAGGGTCAGGGGAGGGCTTTTATAAAAGACTTTAAAAAACGTGTTTGGGAAAAGACAAGAAAGGACAAAGACGGGGTTTTTCCCGAGAAGGGACACAGACCCAAGAGGTCACAATTGGAAGGTTTAAAAAACTCAGATGGAATCAAAGGGATGTTAGGAAGTATTTTTTTTTCAGTCATAAAAGGAGTTTAAACCCGGAGAGGTTTTTTTGGGGGAAAACGCCCCCCGGCCCGTCTGTGCCAGGCCCCCTGGTGGGGTCAGCGCTGATCAAACCCGGGGTTGTTGTGCTGGGCTGCAAAGCAAAACCAAAAGTACGAGCCACCCGCCCGGTGATCAGGAATGACTTTAGGTGCTTGTCCAGGCCAGTTTTAAGACTGCCAGGGGTCGTTGGGAAACCCCCCTTTTGTGTGCGGGAAAGGAGTTGAACCCGTCCCGGTCCCCTGACAATTATTGTATGGGGCTTTTTAACGTGCTAGTGACACCCCTTTCTTTTTATTGGGGGGGTGGTGAATCGTCCCGCCAAGTCTTTTGCTTTCGTAGTGAGTGATTTTCGGGGGTGCAAGGGTTTGGGGACTAGTCCCCCTAGGATTTTCCAGGTGTATAAAATCAGTTCTCTCCCTTTTCCCGGTTCCGGGAAAAAGAGTAGTCAGGCCCTGGAATAGCCTAGAAAAAGGGCGTAGTGGGGCGGGAACCATAAATAGTTTTTTAAACGAGGGATGATTTAAAACTCATGGGGGGGGGGAAAAAGGGGGAGAGAGGGCCTGTAGCAAACCGCGAAGAGGCGGGGCCAGGAGCTATGACTCCGAAACCCCCGCAACCCCAA